CCACTTAGATCCCAACTGAAGTGGGTCAACACTGGGGTGAGGGGTGGGGAGCTGGACAAGGGAGACTGATGAAGGGATGGCCAAGACACTACAAGCCCTTCCCTTCCTTCCTTCCTTCCTTCCTTCCTTCCTTCCTTCCTTCCTTCCTTCCTTACTTTCTTTCTTTCTTTCAATATATTTTTAGATTTCAGAGAAGAAGGGAGAGAGAGGGAGAGAGAGAGAGAGAGGGAGAGAGAAACATCAATGATGAGAAAGAATCATTGATTGGCTGCCTCCTGCACGCCCCACACTGGGGATGGAGCTTGCAACCCGGTCATGTGTCCTGACAGGGAGTCTAATCATGACCTCCTGATCCACAGGTCGAAGCTCAACCACTGAGCCACACTGGCCGGGCCTCTTGCTTTCTTACAGTGAGAAAGTCAGTGTGTCTTTCAGCAGATTCTCCGAGGGTCTGAGAACCCCAGCGAGTCTTGAGGGGGAGTTACTGGGGGTGCAGGGAGTGAGAGACAGCATCCAGGCAGGGAAGCTCTTCAGTTAAGGAGGACACATCTGCCCAGTGGTGGCACCTCATGTACCTTAGAGAACTGCCTTGCCCGCCCCTGGGCCTCAGTTTCCCCATCTGGGCAGGCAGAGGTCAGAAAAAGCCTCACACGCCAGTTGTCACACACTGTGCTGTCTTTTGGGGCCTGTGGTGGGCAGATCTGGGGGAGAGGGGGCTGTCTGAGTGCCCCTCCCCGTGCCCAGCGCTCCCTGGCAGCAGGTGGGCTGAGGGCGGAGGGGCGGGAGCAGGGCGGGGTGAGCGTCCCACTGGTTCCCCTTGAGGAGATTAGCAAGGAGAAGCGTATTTCCTGTGGCTGCAAGGAATTAGTCTCCAGCCGGTGCTGGTGCCGCTGCCCAGGTGGTCTCCGGAGGCCGGGGCAGCAGGAAATCCCGGCTCTGAGGGCCTCCGCCCGCTGCACACTGGCTTCTGGTCTTAGCTCTCCAGTGGCGGTAGAATAACAATTATTGTTCAATAATTGATAAGACGATACCAACAAGGATGTTTGGATCTGTGATGTGACCAGTATAAAAGTTGTGTCCTCCTTTTTATAAGGAGGGGAAACGGAGGCTCCTGAAAAAGAAGTAATTCCCTCGATATTACAAAAGGCAGAAGGAGAGACAGAGGGCAGAGAGAAGACCAA